CATGTTGACCAGGATGGTCTCGATCTCTTGATCTCATGATCCACCCGCCTTGGCCTCCCAAAGTGCTGGGATTACAGGCTTGAGCCACCGTGCCCGGCCGATTTAGAGCAATTCTTAACACAGTGGGACCTGGATAGCACATAAGAGGACCACCAGGAGAACATTCAGTAGTATTTTGATTTTATTTGTTTTAAAATATATTTAGTTCACATAATTCTCTAATTACATTTGAGATTTGAGCATGAGATTTTTATGCTTATGAAAATGGGGCAGGGGTTTAAAAGGTTTCAAAGCACTGGTATATAATGTAGCCAAAAATTCTGCACTTAAAGTTGATACCTGTCCTACACTATTCACTATGTGTATTAGTCTGCTCAGGCTGCCATAATAAAATAGCACAGACTGGTTGTTTTAAACAACAGAAATTGATTTTCTCAAAGTCTGGAGACTGAAAAATCCAAAATCAAGGTGCAGGGTTTAGTTTGTGTCAAGGGCTTTCTTGCTGGCTTGTAGATGGCCCACTTCTGTCTGTGTTCTCACTTGGCCTCTTGTTGGTACCTGTACAAGAGGGAGGAGAGAGAAAGAGAGAGATCTTCCTTTTCTTATTTTATTTTGTTTTTTGAGACAGAGTCTTGCTCTGTCACCAGGCTGGAGTGCAATGCCACGATCTCGGCTCACCGCAACCTCCACCTCCCAGGTTCAAGCAATTCCTCTACCTCAGCCTCCCAGTATCTGGGACTACAGGCACACACCACCACACTTGACTAATTTTTTGTATTTCAGTAGAGATGGGGTTTCACCATGTTGGCCAGGAGGGTCTCAATTTCCTGACCTCATGATCCACTCGCCTTGACCTCCCAAAGTGTTGGAATTACAGGCATAAGCCACCACACCTGGCCTGATCTTTCTCTTCGTAAATGGATGTTAGTCCCTCATGACCTAATCTAACCCTTTTTATCTCCAAAGGCCTTGTCTCTGAATTCCATCACCTTGGAGGTTAGAGCTTCAATATGTGCATTTTTGGGTATACAAACATTCAGTCTGTAACACTACAGCACTGGGGTCTTCAGTATAATGAAAGACTTTAACCTGATATAACAATGACAGATCAGATATATCAGATAAACCTCATTCCAGTTTCTAAAACATATTAGTTTGGCTGAGCATGGTGGCTCACACCTGTAATCCCAGCACTTTGGGAGGCTGAGGCAGGTGGATCACTTGAGGTCAGGAGTTCCAGACCAGCCTGGCCAACATGGCAAGACCTGGCTACTAAAAATACAAAAATTAGCCAGGCCTAGTGGGACACATCTGTAATCCCAGCTACTCAGGAGGCTGAGGCTGGAGAATCCCATGAACCCAGGAGGTGGAGGTTACAGTGAACTGAGATCACGCCACCAGACTCTGGCCTGGGCAACACAGCAAGATGCCATGTCAAAAAATAAAATAAAAAAATAAAAAACACATTAGTTTATCAGCCTTTGGCAAAGATCCCAAGAACAGGACCACTGACAATGATACACCTAGAATGTACAGGAATGCATACGTATTATATTTAAAAATTGAGGCCAGGCATGGTGGCTCACACCTGTAATCCCAGCACTTGGGAGGCTGAGGCATGAGGATCACTTGAGCCCAGGAGTTCAAGACCACCCTGGCAAACATAGTGAGCCTCTGTCTCCACAAAAAAAAAAATAATAATAATAAAAGTTTTTAACTAGCCAGGTGTGGTGGCACAAACCTGTAGTCTCAACTCAGGAAGGTGAGGCAGGAAGATTGCATGAGCCCAGCAGGTTTAGGCTGCAGTGAGCCATGATCACACCACTACTCTCCAGCCTGCACAACAGAATGAGACCCTGTCTCATTAAAAAAAAAAAAAAAAAAAAAAAAAAAAAAAAAAAAAAAAAAAAAAAAAAAAAATTAGGACTTTGGTTGGTTGCCACAGAACAAAACAGATAGTATCATATGCCCACATATTCTTTTTGGCTATGTTTTACATTTGGAATCCCAGTTTAGGTGAAAATAACTGTGCTCACAAGTACAATGAGAGTTTATATTATTCCACCCAAGATCTATTCTACTTACATTCTTTAACTGTTACATAAGTAATAGTCCATTCTAACTTAATTGGTCTGGATGTGACTTGGCCATCAGTATGTATTTAAAGCTTTCTGAGTGAATCTAATATGCAACTTAGATTGTGAACCCAGATCTCTTAATGTTCTTTGGGCATGTTAATACTTGTACCTCTACTTGAGCACTGTGTATTATCTACTAGGCATTTAAAAACATTTTATGGTGCTCTGTAACCACCAGTCAGCCTGTGTGTGTTCTCTGATGAAGATAGGTAGCCTGTTAGTAAAGCAATACTTGCTTCCTGGAGAGTATGGGACCAGATTGCTGACCTTTGGGAGTTGCATTTTTTTTAGTCCATCTTTGTTTTAAAAAAAAAAAAAAAGTGGTATTCTAAGGATCTTAGAACTTAACTGATTATATGACACCTGCCTCCCTCCCAAGAGTTTTATTCTGAAAGTACTACTCATGTCATATGATTTTTCATCATTATGTCTATCTAGCAATAAATTATATTGTTTGAGAGATTGTCCATCATAAAGATGAATTTTTAAAAATCACAATCAGTAATTCAAATGTGATGATTACCAAAAGGTTAGAGCTAGATGATGTCAATACATACGGACGTTTAATCAGGATGTTCTCTTAGTATAATACCAAATATTCTAATATTTATGACTTTTAGATATTGCTTTTAGCTAGATAAGATGCATAGATGGGGCTGGGCATGGTGGCTTATGCCTGTAATCCCAGCACTTTGGGAGGCCCAGGTGGGTGGATCATGAGGTCACGAATTCAAGACCAGCCTGGCCAACATGGTGAAATCTTGTGTCTAATAAAAATACAAAAATTAGCCAGGTGTGGTGGCACGCACCTGTAATCCCAGCTACTCGGGAGGCTAAGGCAGGAGAATCGCTTGAACCCAGGAGGCAGACGTTGCAGTGAACCAAGATCGTGCCACTGCACTCCAGCCTTGGTGACAGAGTGAGACTCCGTCTCCCAAAA